CCCCAAAACCCCAAAACCCCAAAACCCCAAAACCCCATTAAATATGCTCTTGATTGAACATTTAGTATCTTCTATCTCTTCTATCTCTTCGTTCTCTTCTATACATTCCTCCTCTTCTTCCTTCATAGTTAAATCTTGGTCTTCCTCTATGTCCACCTCTTGTGCCAGTACTGAATCCAAACCTGCTGCCTCGTCTTCTGAATCTTCCTCTACGTCTCTGGCCTATACCTCCTTCTCTTTCTTCTTCCCTCTTTTGCTTGATTTCTTCTCTATCTCTGAAGATTTTATGAATATTGAAAACAATAGGCAACTCGAGGTCTTCATTCAGACCGATTTCAGCAGAGTCTACTCTGACCAATTCTTGGTGGTTGTTCTCGTACCAGGCGATTTCATCCTGATATTCCTGGCCCAAGGCATCTATCTTTTCGTAAATATTAGAGAATTCTTGGTTTTTAGCCTCTTCAGTTTCTTTGTCAGTTTTAGTCGAGAATGGGCATTTGAGATGCTTTTCATCAAACCTTTTGTCTTTGAAGTTTAGTCTCAATCTTTCCCTCTGTTCGGACTTTTTCCAGATCAGATTTCGTTCTTTATGTCAAGCAAAAGTAAAGTGAGTGTTTCTGAGGCAATTTCCACAGACATTATAGAACCTTCCTCCACCTTTTGGGATTAGAACTTTGTTGGTCTGCAGCAGAGTAGGAGTAAAAAGATCCATTTCTTTAATTTCATTTATCTCTTTATTGACAACTTCATTGAAATTCTCAGGAGGTTTGGTCACTTGGTTCCAACTAAACGTCATCTCTAGAGAGTCCTTATCATCTTGCTCAAAGGGATTAATATATTCATCTTTTCTGTGATATATTTGATTCTGAGCATTCATTATGGACCTCTTCCACAGATATTCAAGGTATTCGTTATTTATTTCTTCCCAGAAGATATCTTTTATAGTCTGGTAATCCATCTTTCAGTAATCTTCAATAGCATGACTCTTGTCTGGTTTAGTTGTAAGAAAAGCTTCTTTTCAAATATCAAAACTTTGATAACTATCAATAAACACCAAGAAAGGATTCCTAATGGTAGAAATAATCGGAAATCTCTTACAATTAAGATGTCCTTTCTCACCACAAGACATTCACCTCAAATCCGCATAAACATGGCTCTTCGGGTCATAAAGATGCTTCACTTTCTGAAAATCCTGAAGTCAATTCCTCTCAACATGTCCAGGTATCCTACAAATACTGCACTCTATCATCTTAGCCCTATCTCAATTCTTAAGCTGATGGCCCTGCGTGCCTCACTTGAATCAAATATTTGCCACGCATTTGGCTTCATCGTCTATTGGATGGGCCATTCCTCATTTAATGCAAATAGGATCTTGTTCTCCTTGGTTCGGACAAGCTTTAAAAGTATGGCCATGCTGATGACAGATTCTTCATTTGGGACCCTTTCCTTCATGAAATTCTTTCTCAAACACTCTAAGATTCCTTCGTTTCTTGATCATAGTTTGATCTGGAATTTCATCTTCTGATTTATACTCTATAGCTTCTTTTCCTTCTTCCTCTTTCTCTTCTTGCTCTTTCTCTCCTGCTTTAATGTCTCTTTTCTTCTTTTCAATATTTTCCTTGTTCTCCTTGTTTTGTTTCTTTAATTTATCCTTCAACTTCTTGTCTCTCAGTTCACTGACAGGGATGATTGAAACTAGTTTTTCTTCAAGAGATTTCTCTTTATTATCTTCCTTCTGCTTGCTTTGGCGAGTATGGTAATGCTCTATCTCAGCCATTATTTTCTCCTGTTCAGCTTGTTCTCTTCTTCGTTGTTCTTGCTCGTTCATCTCTCTGAGCTTTCTTTCCATCCTCTTTTCTCTTTTGGTCTTTCTGAACTCTTCATTTCTGAATTCAGCTCTTGTGATAATCTTAGATTTGTACCAGTTTCCTTTAAGAATATTCAAAGTTTCAGGAGTGTTTTTGTTCCCAGAAGGAGTTATCTTCAGATCACATGCGTATTTTCTCTTCTTAAATATTCCAAAAATATCAGGATTTCTAAGGGAGTTCAATCAGTTTATATACTTAGGATGGGACATCTTTGGGTTAAGATTACAAATATACGCATTCTCTGCCTTCATTTTGGTATTTAATCTATAAAACTCCTGATTCTGGCCTTTCTTCTTCCTTTTCTTCTTATTCTTGGCCTTACTAATCTTCCTATTCTCCCTCACCTCCCCCATCCTCTCCCCCTCCCCCACCACCCCAGTCATCTCCCCCATTCCTCTCTCCTGCTTCCTCTCCACTAACATAAAGCTTGTACTGTATGGAGATTTTAAGGAATAGGGCTTAAGAAGGAAAGAGAGTTCTAGAAATTAGCACGATGAAATAGTAGGTTTTAGAACACAGCAGGTTGTGTTGTCGGTGGTTCCTCTCCTGTGGGCTAGATTGGTGATTTTTGTGCAGATTTCGAGAGATTCTTCATTTTTAAGGGAGATTTTGTAGATGTCTTCTGTTGTTACTTTGTCGGTGATCCCGTCAGATGTGATTATGCAGAATTTATGCTCTTTAGCTAACTCGATTCTTTTGACGTCAGGGGTTCATATTAATCCAAATTTTGAGAAATTTCTATCTCCAAAAGCTCTAGTGACAGATATGGTATCCCCTACTCTATCAAATTCCTTGTTAGTATTAAGATCCCTGTTTTTGGTTCTTATCCTTTTCTTCTCCTCCAAATTAGTATGATGGTGAAATCCTCATAAATCTTCTATAGAAGTTTGGTTTACTAAAAATGCCATGGAGTCCCCTCAGTTGGCTCAGTAAAGAACTTTTTTATCTTCTTCTTTGGTAATATAAATAACTACTGCAGTACTTCCAGATGATTTCCCGAGATTATTAATGATTTTTGAATTGATATATTCAAAGGTTTGAGTCATGATAACATCCATCTTCTGTTCTACACAAACAGTTACATCGATCAAATCATGAATATCCTGACTCTTTTCCTCCTCCTCCTGCGTGCTTTCTTCATTGTTTTCTTCTTCATCTTCGTGCTTGTATAATTTCAGCTCTCGCTTGATATCTTCCATTTTAACATCTTTATTATTTCTCATTTTGCTATTTCTGAGGTCAGACCTGTTTATGATTATCTCATCCTCTTTGATAAATATCCGTTCCATTATATCTTTTATCTCTTTGTTATATCTAATGGAACTGCTTTCTGATAATTCTTCTTCATCGTCCATATTATCTGAATCATCTTGAAGACCGAAACGCTTTCTCCAATAATGTCTATCATCTTCCCTTTTTTCTTTGATACTTTGCTTTATTTCGTATATTTCTGATTTCACCTTTTGGTTCTTTATGTTTTCAATTACCTCCTGTGTTTTATTTAAGCAAATTTCAAAAATAGTACTGAAGTTATTGGCAAGGTATTTGGAAATATGGTCTGAAGAATGACCGTCAAATATACAGTATAGTCCTTCTTCAGGGTTGTTTCTAAACCTATCAACAATTAAGTAAGTATCTTCCATTTTAGGTCTTCTCCCTTGCTTTTCAATAACTGTGAATTCTTTTACAGAAATGGCATCTTCTTCATAAAGTAGTCCTTCATGGTTAATGCTTAGCGCATTTGAAAAATCTTGGCCTCCAAAGAAAAAGTGGTGCTTTATATCAATACTGCCCATTGAAACCCACTAGATCAGACATTAATTATAACCCATATTCTAAAATTTAGGATTTCATTTTCATTTATGGAAATTACTGAGGATTTTTACCAGCAATGAAGACTTGCCAAATTCAAGAGATTGATTCAGAAGTCCTTAACCAGAAAGGACTCGGGTGATTTGGAGATGAATTCATTCATATTCCAGTTGATGACTCTGATGTAAAGAAAGGAACTCTTCCTCAAGATCACCAAGAAGAACCAGATTCTGACAAGGATTCGGACATGAGTGATGGGGAGGAAGCTATCCATGGAGACAGAAGGAAAAATATAGAAACAATTATAAGCTACATGGTCGACAAGGATGATGCTCCTTGGATACAACAAGAGCATAAACCTCTTGATCCATTTGTCCGATTTCATAATGAAATCATTGATTATTACAAATATTATGGCCCTACAGAAGAAAGAGATCAATTAGGTAGAGAATTTTTTGAAAAAGTGTATGATCTTATCAAAAAATATAACAAGAAATTTGCTATTGAGATCTACGGGTCATGGGCTCTTGGATATTACTCAATATTATCGAAAATGGATGTTACAGTCCTCCTGCCAGAAAACCCTAATAGGAAGAAGAATGCAATCAACCAGCATCTGATCGATGTTAAAGGAGAAGAAGATAAGTATATCAAAGAGCAAATCGCCAATATTTATGAATTCCTCATCGAATCTAACATTTTTGAAGAAATTGAATTGAAGAACGTAGAAACTTATCCCAAACTGAAGATCACTGATAAAAAGTCTAAACTTGTGATGGAAATTGTGTTTAACCAGTGTAAAGTCATAGAGACCAAATATCAGATAAAGAAGTTCATAGTGTATTTCCCAGGAGCCAAGTTTCTCATGCTCATACTTAAGGAACTCTTAAGGTCAAGAGATCTGCACAAGCTCGAGACAGGAGGTTTGCCTCAATATTATCTCTTGCTACTGATTATAAATTATTTCCAGGATGTGTTCAAAGAGCCAGGCAATGAAGAAATGCTTCTTTCCGATCATTTATTGAATTTTCTCGATCTTTATGGAAACAAGTTTAACTACAAGCTTTTAGGAATTTCCTTAAGAGCAGGAGGATGTTACTTTCCTAGGGAAGATAAGGGCTGGACAGATCCTCCAGAAGAAAGCCCATTCCATGTTGCCCTAGCTTTAGAAGATCCAATGAACCCTGTTGAAAACCTTGGTGCAAAAGTAACAAATATGAAGCAAGTCCAAATTTGTTTTGCATATGCATATGAAGCTATAAGATGGAATTCAGGTAAAAGAGATAGCTTCTTAAAATGATTCTTATTGAAAAATCCTTCAAAGTAATTATTAATTGTTTTCAATATTTTTGCTAATATTTGGGGTTTTGGGGTTTTGGGGTTTTGGGGTTTTGGGG